CGCAATAAACAATAAATCAATTAATCGCATAATAAATGAAAGTTATCAACCTCTTTCATTTATCGGCTTTATCGTTTCTTCGTCTCTCTTTCTACTGAAGACACTGGACGACAAAAGGCTCAACTCCGGTGCTCTTCACTGACCCCTCCATTTCTCTTTAAAATCCATTTTAACGATCCAAAATCGCGTTTTTGGATCGTTAAAAGCAGCTAAGCTAAGAAGCTAAGCTACGAGCTAAGCTAACAGGCCGACCTCGGGAAAAAAAACTCCGCCTTGTTGAAGCTTCAAAATTCACAGTTGAAACCCGTGCCTTTGTGTAAAAAGTTGTTTTTCTCTGTTAAAAGAAGCTGAAAACTTGTTTACTGATTTTTTGTATTTAAAGCTTTGTGTGAAAAATGCTATGCTCAAGAGCTCAAACCACACTGAGCGTCCGCCATTTTGAGAACCGGAAAAGAGGAACGAGCCCATGTCACGTCAAGGGGCCTCCCTCCCATTTTTCTTAAAGAGACACGCTGCTCGCTCCCTCACTATCCATCCTTCGGTTCAAACAGTCTTATAGTGTCATCCGGTGGTCAACAAAAAAGGTACTACATGCAGAAATTAACCAACATTTCTTTTTAAATTTGACAATAATTACTAATTATTGTCAAATTTCAAACAATATTATCGTTCATCGCAATATTTTCTGAGACAATTAATTGCCCAGAAATTTTTTTTATCGTGACAGGCCTATTCACAACACATACTCTGAGCTTGCGACTATGCACATTATTATTATTATTATTATTATTTTGAGGTTTGACAAACAAATAAACAGGGCGTCATGGTGGATCAGTTGGTAGAACTGCTGCCTATCAGGTAGAAGGTCACTGGTTCAAATCCCAGCCTGGGGATTTTTCTGGGTGGAGTTTGCATGTTCTCTCCGTGCATGCATGGGTTTTCTCCAGTTTCCTCCCACAGGACAGAAACACGCATGTTAGGCTGATTGGTAACTCTAAATTGTCCCTAGGTGTGAGAGAAAGAGTGAATGGTTGTTTGTCTCATTTGTCTCTATGTGTCCCTGCGATGGACTGGAGACCTGTCCAGGGTGTCCCCTGCCTCTCGCACAGTGACTGCTGAATATGGGCACCAGTGAAACCCGCAACCCGAAAAGGAAGAAGCGGGTAAAGATAATGGATGGATGGAAATCCTTCTACTCGTGTCAGTTTTACAATAATAGTTTGTGAAAACTGGAAGTATCAGACATGCTGCAGTCAGTTTCTGCAGGTTTTCAGATTTTTAGGGATGAAGAGAGACACTGAGCAGGAGAACGGAGTGAAGCTGTTGTTTTTAACCAGATGATTTGGTGAATGTAAACCTCCACCTCCAACAGACTGAGCCCTGTGTTTCAGATTCACGAGTTATACTTCTACAAGAGGGCGTTTTCAAAGTCTTTCATAAATACAGCTTAGGAGGATTTTTAAAAAAGCATCTCAGGGAATTTACTTCACATAAAATGTAACATACCCAGTTTAAAATCTAATATTTATGAGTCCCTCCTGCGTTTGCAGTCATATATTTTGCAAAGTTTAGGATCAGGTTTCTAAAAAGTCAAAATAAAAAGATGAATTCCTGATGAGCAACTAGAATATCCTACATTTCATAAAAGTTTATGAGGGAAACTGTTACATGGACGTATAAATGTACCTAAATCCATGAAACAGGATATATCTTTCTGACTCCTCGCCCATTAAAACTAAACTCTGACACTGGAGTTCCTGCCAGCTCTGACACGGGTTGCAGCCTTTATGAGCCCTTCGCACTCAAGAAGAAATATTAGGTCGCCTCCTTTTATGGAATCATATCCTTCGGTGTCGAGTCGTGCAGGAAACACTCTGAAACCTCTGCATCGTTTATCATGGGAACATCTGGATAGAAGAGCAGCAGCTTTTATCGTAATGTTATTACAACCCCAATTTAAAAACAAACTTGAAATGTTGTGTAAAATTTAACAAAAAAACAAAATAAAATAATTTGCTAATTTCTAATCCATATTTTATTCACAATGAATCACAGTAAAAAAGTAAAATGTTTAAACCAAGAATTTGTACTTTTTTAAAGACAATGAGAGCTTTTTTTGTTCTAAAAAAAAATGTCTGCATTAATCGAGACTTTCCAGATTAAAAAAGGCTACTCCTGCCACAGGCAGTAATGCACCCCCATACCATCAGAGAGGCTAGCTTTTGAACTGTGTGCTGATAAGCCAGATGGTCCCTCTTCTCTTTAGTATAGAGCAGTGTGTGTAAACAAAAGGTGGTGGTGGTGGGGGTGGGGGGGTGTCTGGGGGTCCTGCCCCAGAACATTTTGAGTAAAGTAGATGCCATTTCCCTCATTCTGGTGTATTACAACGAGTCGTTACACATCTACGTTTACCTACATTTGCAAACACTTGATTGAACAACTATTTTAGAGAGCAACAAGACCAGCAGCTCTCCTTGAGTGAATAGAGCACACTCCGCTTCTCTCGATTATCCTAACCCCCCCGCTGCATCGACGACCATCTCCACTGCCACCATGTGCTTCAATTCTTATTTGTTTAGTTATGCAATGAGAAGACTTAACAAAAAAAAGAAAGTAAACTGGACTGTTGTCGGCATTTTGATCTGTTATTTTGAAACGTGATGCACGTAACATGATCAGCCTTCAAATTTTTCTCTCATTGTATTTTTAATAAATAATCAAAAGTTTATTAACGACCCACTTAAACTGCAGAACTGATTTGCAGTTTAGTTGTGCTGTTTAATTATAGTTTTGTGTTTTTAATTAAATTGCCCATGACTGAACTTTTAGGAGCAGAGATTTTTTTAAGGGTAGAAGTGGAAATGCTTACTTGAAGGAGCAGCTCTGATGTGATATTAGGAAGCTGTTGTGTTTAAAATGAATGTTTATGTAATTATTTTCAGTTTACATATCCAATATAGGTTTTATTTGCTCAAGCCAGTCCATTTTGTTCATAACTTTATTATTAGTAAGCTTGAGAGTTACTGGATCCAAGCAAACGGTTACCGGAACGCACCCTGTCAAAATAAGAGAGTCCCCGGATCCTGTTCCAGAAGGAGCCGGCTCAGATTAAGCCCTGGTATGGAGGATGTGGTGTTAGGAAAAAATAAATAAATAAAAATTAAATTTGAATTTCAGATTTGCTTTATGCAGCATTTGTGGATGACACTGTGAACTGTGTTTACATACAATGATTTGTTGAGGTGTTCCTGGGTCGATGCAGAGATGTCCAGAACTGAACCTGTTTTAATGCAGTGGCCCCCGAGGGCCCGAAGCTTCCATTTTGACTTTCAGTCTCGTCCTTTGAGCTCAAATATTTCACCAGATTCTTGACATACACTGCGTGGCCAAAAAAAAAAAAAAAAAAGTCGCCACCAGAATAAAAAAGTTCCCACTAATATTTTGTTGGAGCGCCTTTAGCTTTGATCACAGAATGCATTCTCTGTGTCATTGTTTCAATGAACTTCTGCAACGTCACAAGATCTATTTCATCCAGTGTTGCATTAATTTTTCACCAAGCTCTTATATTGATGACTAGGCTCTAGGCATGATGGGTGCATCACTTCACCTGCCTCTTCTTACCCTGATGCGCCCATCACTCTGGAACAGGATAAATCTGGACTCATCAGACCACATGACCTTCTTCCATTGCTCCAGAGTCCGATCTTTATGCTCCCTAGCAAATTTAAGCCTTTTTTTCCAGTTAGCCTCACTGATTAGTGGTTTTCTTAAGGCTACACAGCCGTTCAGTCCCAATCCCTTGAGTTCCTTCACATCGTGCACGTGGAAATGTTCTTACTTTCACTATTAAACAGCCCTGAGTGCTACTGTTGTTTTTCTTCCATTTGATTTCACCAAACGTTGAAGTGAACGCCGATCACCATCATGCAGGATTTTTTTTTCTGGCCACATTTCTTCCTCGAAGACGATGGGTCCCCACTATCCTTCCAGTTTTTAATAATGCGTTGGACAGTTCTTAACACAATTTTATTAGTTTCTTCAATCTCCTTAGATGTTTTCTCTGCTTGATGCCAATGATTTGACCCTTTTCAAACAGACGGACATCTTTTCCACGATCACGCGATGTGTCTTTCCACATGGTTGTTTAAGAAATGAGAAGCAACTCATTTCACCAGCTGAGGTTAAATAACTTGTGGCAGCTGAAAGATAATCGCTCGTGCAGTAATTATCCAATAGGAGGCTCGTACCTATTTGCTTAGTTAAATCCAGGTGGCAACATTTTTTTTTTGACCAGGCAGTGCATTTTATAGATGTTATGAATTGTAGATGATAAAAGATCGCCTCCTTTTATGGAATCATATCCATAAGTAATGTCTCCTCAACTTTCCACTGAGGAAAATTATTCTGAAAATGTTCCAATTTTAAGGAACTTGTTTTCCAAACTGGTGAACCTCTGCCCATCTTTACTCCTGAGAGGTTCAGCCTCTCTAAAATGCTTTTTTTGTAGCCAGTCCTCTTACTGACCTGTTGCAAATTAACCTCATTGGTTGCAAAATGCTCCTCCAGCTGTTTCTTATCTATAACACTTGATTCCAGTCTTCTGTTGCACTGTCACAACTTTTTAAAGATGAGTTGTTGCCATCACATACAAAGTTAAGTTTAGTTTCTTTCAAAAAATGGTATCGCTCAGTTTAGCCACATACGTTAACTGTGTTCCACTGTGGATAAACGTTGGGTTTATGAGATTTGCAAACACTTGCATTTTGCATTTACTAACATTTTACGTCTGCAGATGATCTGTAGCGTTTTTAAACGTTTAACTTGAGCTGTTGAAATCCTAAAATTCAGGATTCTTTATCTACGAAGCAGGTTTAGTTTTAAAGCTTAGTGTCAACAGAAAAAAATGCTAATCCCTTGCAGCAGTCTGAATCATACATAAATCCTGACACAGGATTTGTTCGTGAACTTGGACTCATGGGAGTGTGTTGATGTTGACTCACCGAGCGCAGGCTCAGCACAGTCTTTGTACTGCTCAGGTGTGCAGTACGAAGCATCACCTGCGAACAGGATTAATAATGCGCGTTAACGGAGGTATCGACTCAGTGCTCGTGTTTAAACATCAACTTCTTGGCAAACTTAAAGCGTAAACGTGGATGAATGAAACATGCTGAGAGGAACATACTGAATGTATATACAATTTTATTACCTCTCAGACACACCTGTGTATTCCATGTTTAGATGTTGGCATTATAAAAACATCTAAACATGTATTGACTTATATCAATAAGCTTCTCAATGCTGTTGATCTCACAAAAAATCCTGCCGCCTTGCTGAAAACTTCTGTTGATGAATGCACGTTCAATAAACCATCGGCCGCGGCGCTCACCAGGCATGTGAACCATCCTGCAGTTGCAATTCTCCACAATGTAGCGCGTCTCGCAGTCGATTCTGCAGGCGGTCACGCTGTAGACCTGAAAGAAGCCCGACTCCAGAGCTTTGGACTCGCACTCTCCCCACGGGGGAGGCAGGTAAGTCAGCTGGAGAGGAGAAAACACACAACGTAAGAAGAGTTTGCAAAACCTTTGAAAATTTGAGACGAGTAAGAGTGACAGCAACTGTCAGCTGGACGCATCTGTAAAAATAAAACTTTAAACTGTGACAGTGTAAAAACAATAAACTATATCAAAATGCCTCTTCAAACACAAAGTCCAACTTTCTGTGACCCGGTTCATTCAAGTTTTTTACATTGAAGTATGTCGAAGCTTTACAGCTTCAAAAAGATCCGGGTTTCTTGCCAAACCTTCTAAATCCTAATCCTTTCGATGATTTTTGCAAATTTTGTTTATGATCTAAGATCATAGCTGCAAACTCACAAGGGATGAAACAGCTGACAAACCTAGCGCCTGTAGTGGTGGTGGTGGTGGGGGGGCACAGACCCTGCCCCCCACCTCCCCACAGAAGATTTAGCATTCTGGTATATGCAAATAATTTGTTTTGGGAAAATACAAAATGCTTCAGGTAAAAAAGGCATTTACTAACACATTTTAATTTATTTAGGACATACACAGGAAAGATGGCTAGTCAACAAAACAAAAACAAAAAAAACAAAAACAAAAACAATAAACACGCAACAACAACAGCGAGCCAAAGACAGAAACCAGACATAGAAGAGCATTTTGCTAATAGCAAAAACTCCTGTCTTAAATACGTAGCACAAAGCTAGCAGCACACAATACAGACGCGCTAGCTAAGATGCTACAGATGTAGCATCCTAACACCCCCCCCCCCCCGACTGAGGATGGTTGGAGTATAACTTGCATGCTTTATTTTAAATCTTCACAAAAAAATACAAAAATAGAAGATTCTGAACAAGGAAGAGCTACGGAGGTACGAACACTAAATTATAATGAACACCCATCTATCAATATAAAACATGAATAATTTAGCATTCCTTTTCAGATATAAATAAATACTGTATATTGTTGTAGTGAACTATTAGATTACAAGACTTAGAGCCAGCAGCAAATAAACAAAGATGGATGCATTTTTGTCTCCCATAATTATAAATCCATGCACATCTGGTTCCGTGATATAAATCTTATTCATCATGATACTGTGCACAAATGTGCCCGCTGTATTTCCTGAGCCATTTCATCACTCCTTTAATTACTGCTTTGCATATAAATATATTAACTACAACAAATTATACATGAGAAGAAGAGGCAGACATTCTTTTAAAAGTAAAATAAAAGAAACACGCAACAACGAAGCAGAAATAAAATAAGATTAATCTGATTTTGGTGTTTAATTTCTGTACTCAAGCAGACCGAGGTGAGTTTAAGAAAAGAACACGGTGACCTTGGTAAAAAGGTGAAGTTGATTTGACTGAATTTAACTTCCAGGTGCTTCACCTTCCCTCTCACCTGCGCTGCAGCTTCGCCTCCAAAGCCCTTCCAGATGGCAGAACAGAGGAAGCTGTCATGGAAGCCCACAATCACACTTTAATAATCACACGGAGGAATATACTGTTGTTTTGAATTTTAATAAATACTATGAAAAATCAATGTTGCATCCCATTTCACAAGACACACCGACCCCTTTTGGATATTAAGAGCAATAAATGACTCTCAAACAGAAATGTTTCTGACTCTAACTGACATTTAAACAGATATATTCAAAATTATAAATTAAAGGTTTTGTTTGACTGTATTTTTTATAGAATGGCTACATTTATAAAATCCTATTTGTAGCTTACTGGCTGCCAATTCTCACGTCCACTGAAAAAATGACTTTAAAGCCAGAATTTACTGGGGAAATTAACATCTTAAATTTGATTAAAAGCTATAATTCTTCAATACACTCCAGAAAAAGTAAACTAAAAAAAGTGTTTTAAATGTGGTGACAATGTCTTTTAGAATTATTTAAAACAAGTTATAGTTTTTGAGAATCATAACCTCCAGATGTGAGGCCATGGTCCTCAATTGGAAAAGGGTGGATTGCTGTGTTCAGGTCGAGGGTGAGGTTCTGCCTCAAGTGGAGGAGTTCAAGTATCTCAGGGTTTTGTTCACGAGTGAGGGAAGAACGGAGCGTGAGATTGGCAGATGGACTGGTGCAGCGTCTGCAGTATTGCAGACTCTGTACCGGTCTGTTGAGGTGAAGAGGGAGTTCAGCCATAAGGCAAAGCTCTCTGTTTACCAGTCAGTCTACGTCTCTACACTCACCTATGGTCATGAACTCTGGGTAAAGACCAAAAGAATGGTAAATGGATGGTAAATGGACTGCACTTATATAGCGTCTTTCTATCTATTCAAGACACTGAAAGCGTTTTACACAACAATCTGTCCCTCATTTACCCATTCATACAGCATTCTACTAGAGCTCTACAAAGCTAATTGAACAAATCATCCTAAAGAGACTAATCAGTGTTTCATCACACTCGTACACCAATGGGACACACATCGGAGGCAATGAGGGGTTCAGTGTCTTGCCCAGAGACACTTAGGCATGTGACTGTTGGTGGATTTGAACCCCCAACTCTCACATTGGAGGACGACTGCTCTAACCACTCAGCCACAGCCGCCATGAGATTGTGGATACAGGCGGTTGAAATGAGTTTTCTCTGCAGGGTAGCTGGACTCTCCCTTAGAGACAGGGTGAGAAGTTCAGTTATCAGGAGAGACTCGGAGTAGAACCACTGCTCCTCCACATCGAGAGGAGCCAGTTGAGATGGTTCGCCCTGGGTGCCTCTCTAGGGAGGTGTTGGGGCATGTACAACTGGGAGGAGACCCCGGGAAAGACCCAGGACACGCTGGAGAGACTATGTTTCTCGGTTGGCCTAGGAACGTCTTGGGGTTACAACAGAAGAGCTGGAAGAGGCTGTGGAAAGAGATGTCTGGACCTCCCTGCTCAAGCTGCTGCCCCCGAGACCAGACTTCGGAACAAGTGGAAGATGATGGATGGGTGGAAGTTAAAGCTTTTGAACATTTTTTTGTGTTATTGCTTTTAATCAAATTCAAAGTTATTTAAATTCTACATCATAAAGAGAAAGATTACCAAAAGGGATGAGTATTTTTACAACCCACTTTATAAATTACAGCATAAATTAAAGTCTGTTCATCATAATGAACACTGGGTTTCTAGTATTGTGTTTCACAGTACAGTAGTCCATCGCTACTTTGCGGTTCGTTTTTCACGGACTCGCTCTATCGCAGTTTTTCAAAGTAAGATTGGACACGACACAACTGGCTGATTGATGAATGAGACACACGATCGACATGACATTTTTATTTTAAATATATAATATTTATATATATATTATTATATATATATAATAATATTTAGCACCTGTTGCACGTGTGTGCAGCCCACAGCTGCAGGAGAAGCTTCCTGTTGCAGCGTGTCAGATCTCCGCTCTGCAGCGGAGAAGTGGGCGTGGCCGAGAGCACAGGCAGAGAGCAGCGGAGGCAGAGAGCTGACATTCTGTGCTCCTTTAGAGCGTTTAGAGTTTAGAAACATTGTTTAGAATATTGCAAGAGTCTAGGAAGGGTTTAAAATGCCTTTATATATAATAAACTACTACTTACTACTCGTACTACTATTCCTACTTCGCGTTTTTTCACTTATCGCAGGGCTTCAGGGTACGGATCCCCCATGATAAACGAGGGACTACTGTAAACCTTAAGACCAGACTAGATTTTCATGTGCTGGCTGGTATTTAGAGCAACAGCTGGAGCGATAATAACACCAGACTCTGACTCAATATGATAGTTTGTTTTCACACACACACAAAAAAAGATTCTTCTACTAAGATCAGACAAACTTAATTTGTTCAGCCATATACGGAATGGCTTTTGGTTTATGAATTTAATAAATCATTTATAACATCTTGCATAAAAAAACTACATTGATATTTATTTTTCTAGAAAATAACAAAAACCACTTCATAAATGTCAACCTGCAAAGAGCATCTCTCCAAGCAAAGACAACAGAAGAGTGTTGGCATTGGAGGAAACAGTCCCACAGTTAGCCAGACTCTGTCAGAACACCCCCACCCCCCAAACACGCAGCGAGGAGAGACGATACAAACGCTCCTGCGGCTCTGAAGACTGGAGCAACAGATGACAAACGAGGGACACCAGGTTGAGCAGCATGGAGGCCCATCTGCTCCACAACACAGGCAGTGAGGTCCAGCCGTGTACTGTATCCATCACCCATCACCCTCCGTTCCCAGTTTTCTTCGCCGTCACTTCAGTGTTTCCCATGAGGCAGCTTCTTCTGCCAAAAGATCATTTTCTCTGGGATGATGCAAACAGCAACAATCTGCCAGAATACTTTTGGCTTCAGTCTGCTCGTTGGCTGAAAGAGAATTTGCAACCGCGCTCCATGTCGGGTTGTCTTTTATCTCTGCTTTCAGGATACAGCACAACAGATACAATCAGTTTTACCATTAATTACACCAGGACAATACGTTTTAACTAAATCCAAAAGGCAATCTAGTCAGCTAAATGTTCCAGTGTCCACGAGCCTCGAGCCGTCTCTGTGCAGCTATAGTTTCCTGTAATAATTATACGTGCCCGTCTCAACGCCAGTAGCCAGCAGAAGCCGCATACTGACATTCAGGAGCTATTAATTATGTCAGAGACTTGGAAAAAAGTGCCGCTCTGCAATCCCCAACCTTTACAATCACCTTCACATCTCAGCTAATCTTCACTCCTGGCCTAATTAAAGTCAGATGTAGCAGATCCAAGATCTGATTATTTCTCTGTAATCAGATAATCCGAGGAGCTCAATATCACTTTTCAGTGTGTTGGGGCCTGCTGACCTGATTATGGTCTATCTAATAAAAGTGGAGGCCTGTGACTCACTCAATGTGGTATTAATCAATGCTCCATTGTCCTGCTATACTATAGCGATACCTTAATTAGGCCATATAACTTTGCCAACCAGGGACGTTGTTCAGAAGTTGATAACAGGTCATCTCATTATTGCAGGCTGCGTGAACAGAATTGTAAATTGTAGCCAGCTGGTTAAAGCTGAA